TATATATATATATATATATAATAGTTTTGTATTCTTTATGCAGCTCTTGTTAAGATGTAGACACATGATGTATTAGGATATATATATATACTGGTTTTATATTCCGTACAATGAAAAAAATGAAAGTAAGAAAATATTTCTTATGCGAAAGCTTTCTCTTCTCCAAATATCTCTCTATTTTCTGCAGCCTAATTCGTTCACACAAAGAACATGGTTATCTATCCATTATCAACCAGTTGGATTATGATGCATCTCCCCATCTGAAACTTTATTGGCTTCCTGATTTCGTCATCTATTTCACCACAAATATGCATTTTTGTCTGTGCAGCAAAGATGCACATAAATAGTAAATGATAGTTAATTTATAGGATTTTGATATAGGAATTTCGCTAGCTCTTTTGTTTTTCTTTTTTCTTATGAAATGTTTTTAAACTATCAAGTGGGAATTCAGTTCTAGTTAAACTTTGGTCACCGTATTCATGATTGGCTAGTTCTGCAGCAATCTAACATCTAATACCATTTCACAAGCTTTTTTATTATTACTATGGACTAGTATTTTCCTTAAGTGTGTAAAGATCATCAATTTCATTAGTATCTTTATTCCACTATGGATTTCAACTTTATTTTTTCTTAATATTTATTTATTTATTAAGTGTTACTCAAGGATTTAAATCTATTATATATAAATCCTTTTGCACAACTTCAATAAAGGTAACATTTGGTCTGCCTCAACTTTGACAAATGCAAGAATTATTGACTTGTTGCTTATTCTGCTCTTGTAATGAGCCCTAACCCAGTCGCTCATCCCACCTCTCGACTTTGCGCGAGACTCCACCTTCCTGTCATGCCTCGTCCTCATTCGTGTGGGGTGCTCGCCTCTTGTTCATTGTCACATTTGGCTTCATCATCCCATCTCTTTAGCTTAGCGCATGCCGTTCTCTACTTTTGTGGGGCCTCATTTGCGTAGGCTTCAACCATGGCTTCTCTCTTGATTGGGAATCCATGTTCTTTCCTCTGGATAATTTTTTCGTTTCCTTATTTCAAATCCTTGCCATTTTTGTCCTCATGCTCTTTCAGTAGCACCTGTAGGATTTCTAATTTGAAACAAGTTAC